AATTATAGAAAAGAAAAAAAAAAAGAAAGAAATGCTAGTCTTTTGATTGTTGGTTCTTCTCCCCACCCTCACCCCCCAACTCTAGCCATTTAAAAATTAAACTCTTAGCTCATAGATCAGGTAAAAATATGGTTAGATCAGTTTTAACAATAAATATTAGAGAGTATTGGCTTAATGATAAGGAGTTGAATACTGCTAACCTGAAGGCACACAGTTGAGTTCACCAATTGCTCTGGGGGGGGGGGGGAAGGCAGTCTCCACTCGAGTGATGTACTATCTCTGATAACCCAATGGATGATCAGCGATGGGTCAGTTATAGTAAATACGTATTACGTTGTTGTTGTTGTTGTTGTTGTTGTTGTTAAGTGCCATTGACTCATAGGCAACTCCTAATGACTATGAACGAAAATCCTCGACCCTTGCATGCACGACTTTCATTTGCAAGCTATTTTCGGAAGTGGATGCCACTCCTGCTTCCAAGCTTGTTTCAACTGGGGAGCCACCAAACACTGTCCACCATGGGTAACCATTATTGTGTCACAGTGTTCAGCTTCATGGCGACCACAAGTTACCTCTGTACGGCAAGTAAATAAACCAGGGCTATCCAACCTAGAAGACTGAACAAAAACAATAAAAAACAGGCCTTAGGGCCATGGATTAGAGTCACCCACCTTTGGCTTTGTAGCATCGCTTTCGGTCCTCCAGGTCAACTGGTCTCTCTCTGTGTTGTTAAGTGCCATCAAGTCGTAGGCGACTCATAGCAACCCTATGAATGAAAGTTCTTGACACTTGCATTAGTGAATTATAACAATAATAGTAATACAGAATTTTTCAGAAGGCATATTTTATTCATATTCATGATATTTTCTAGCATACTATTTGCTAAATATGCTTAATAAATATTTAGGTTTTCAAATTTCCCCTAGAGTTAATGCCAGGATTGTCTTTTACTTGCTAGTGATATCTTTCTTTTCTGTGTTTTTTGTATAGGAAGGCCCAAATAGTCTGATTAATGAAGAAGAGTTCTTTGATGCTGTTGAAGCTGCACTTGACAGACAAGACAAAATAGAAGAACAGGTGAGTGCATTAACAATTTTTAAGCTTAATTTCATTTTAATATGTTATTATAAATAATTAGAATTTGTAATTACAAACTTAAAAAACTAACCAGTATCCACTTTGAATCATTAAGTATAATCTTTGTGAATGAATTTTTTCATTTATCAATTTCCAAGCATTAGAAAAAAGCCCAAGAATTTGTTCAAAAAGCCTGATTAACGTAAAATTAATTGGAAATGCTCTCTACCTAGTCCTCTTGAAATATCTGAGTATTATTAATTGTTGTTGTTAGGTGCCATCGAGTTGAGTACGACTCATAGTGACCTGTGAACAAAAGATTTGAACCTAGTCATGTCCTGCACCATCCTCACACTTCCTAGTACACAAGGGCCCATTGTATCATTCCACCTGGTTGAGCGTCTTTCTCTCCTTCACCGACCCTCCACCCTTCCCAACATCATGTCCCTCTACAAGGAATTGCACCTCCTAGCAACATGTCCAAAGTATGTGAGGCAAAGCCTCATCATTCTTGCCTCCAAAGACCACTACGGCTGCTCCTTCTCCAAGACATATCTATTCGTTCTTTTGGCTTTCCATGGAACGTTCACTACTCTTCAACAGCAACACAGCTCAAAGGCAAGGTCCATATTTGTTTCTATTCCCAAGAAGGGTGATCCAACTGAATGTGGAAATTATCAAACAGTATATCATTAATATCATATGCAAGCAAAATACTGCTGATGATCATTCAAAAACAGCTGGAACAGTACATAGATAGGGAATTACCAGTGGGATTTATTCAAGTGGGATTTAGAAGAGGCCAGGGCACCAGGGATATCATTGTTGATGTCAAATGGATCCTGGCTGAAAGTAAAGAGTACCAGAAGAATGTCTGTTTGTGCTCTACTGACTATACAAAGGCATTTGACTATGTGGATCATGACAAGTTGTGACTGACATTGAGAAGAATGGGAATCTCAGAGCACTTGATTGTGCTCATGAGGAATCTATACCTGGATCAGGATGCTGTTGTGCGAACGGAGCAGGGGAGCATTGCATGGTTCAGATTTGGGAAGGGAGTGCGTCAGTGTTGTATTTTGTTGCTGTACCTGTTCAGTCTATATGCTGAGCACATTATCCAAGAAGTTGGACTCTGTGAAGAAGAATGTGGCATCTGGATTGGAGAGAGACTCATCAATAACCTGCATTATGCAGATGACACAACCTTACTTGCTGAAAGTGAGGAGGACTTGAAGCACTTATTTCAGAAGATCAAGGAATGAAGCCTTCAGTATGGATTCCATCTCAATATCAAGAAGACAAAGATTCTTACCACTGGCTCGATAGGTAACATTATGATGGAAGGAGGGGAGATTGAAACTGTCAATAGCTTCATCTTCTTGAATCCCCAGTTAACATCTTGGTATGAGCAATCGGGAAATAAGGAGATGCATTGCACTGGAGAAGTCTGCAGTTAGGGACCTTTCCACATTATTGAGGAGTAGTGATGTCAGTATGAAGACTAAGTTGCATCTGATTCAGGCCATAGTCTTATTAATATTTAAATATTAAATGTTAGTGTGAAAAACGTCAATTTTTATTCATCAAGTACCAAAATTTTAAAAAATGACCAAATTATATACATATAATTTGTTTTTAAAACAAATCCAGAGATCTCTTTTTTAAAATTTTTATTTTGAGGGTTTTTTCTATATTTACATTACTTATCACCAAGTTGTACCAGGAAATCTTGCGGACAGCCACTTGGCCAACTGACTGGAAGAGATCTGTGTTTGTTCTCATTACCAAGTAAGGTGATATGACAGAGTGTAGAAATTATTACACAATATCATTACTATCACATGCAAGCAAAACAACTTTTTTTGAAACTTATCCAAAACAACTGGAACAGCACATCAATAGAGAACTGCCAGAAGTGCAGGCTGGGGTTAGAAGGGGACCTGGTACTAGGGAGGGATATTGTAGCTAATGTTAGATGGATCTAGGCTGAAAGCAGGAAGTAGCAGAGAAATGTCTGTCTGTATTTCATTGATTATGCAAAAGCTTTTGACTGTGTGGATCACAAAAAACTGTGGCTAACTCTGAGAAGAATGGGAATCCCAGAACACTTGATCATGCTAATGCAAAACCTATTCATGGCAGTCATCAGAACAGAGCAAGGAAACACTGCATGGTTCAAAATAGGGAAGGGTGTACTCTAGGGATGTGTCCTATCTCCACACCTTTTCAATCTCAATGCAGAACAGATTATCCTAGAGGCTGGGCTGTATGAGGAGAAATGTGTCATCAGGTTTGGAGGAAGATTCATCAACAATCTACATTATACAGATGACACAACCCTGTTTGCTGAAACTGAGGAGGACCTAAAGCGCTTGCTGTAGAAGGTCAAAGACTGAGCCTTCAATATGGATTGAAGCTCAATATCAAGAAAACAAAGATTCTCACCACTGCAATCCCAAAGGCAAGAGGTTCAAATCCACAAGCTGTTCCACAGGAAGGTGGGCGTTCTTCTCTCCTGTGATTAATTGCCTCTAAAAACCCACCAGATAGTCAGCTGTGGGTTAGTTCCATCTCAGTGGTACACAACAACAAATAAAAATAATTTCACCTTCCATTCCTCTTTCTTTATTTTTACTTCTGTCATTGTTTTAACATCATTTAATTCATTTAAGTAATTTAAATCATTTAAGTAATTATATCCAGTTCCTCCCACAGAAATTAAAAGAAAGCTTTTCTTAAATTCCTTAACTCTGGTTTAAAGATTACTTTGATTCTTTGACTTAAGTCTGGCAATGAAATTACCATATTTTACCACTAGGTGGTACTTAAGGGTGAGTATTAGTTTTTAGGCTCTGAGTTTTAAGGTTTATTAGTTTTTTGTTTTAGTTTTCTTTATTTTGCTTTTTTAATGTGCTCTGACAAATGTATGTTTCCCACAGTAGAAATGTAAACTTCCTTTTGAGTGAGAGACTACTGTCTAGTTAAAATATAAAAAAGTGTTTTAAACTAAAAATTAACTTTTAACATCTAAAAAGTTAACTTGATTATTCATGTCTTGTTACTACTAAATTAATAGTGGCCAGTTATACACACTAGAATGTCAGAACCCTTGAAAATTGGATTTTATGCTCATTGCATTAGCCCTCCATGGTAGGGGAATGAACCCCTGCCATCTTACCTGCAGACACATGGTCTTACAAATCAGTAACAACTAAGACCAGTCTAAGAAAGAGAGCTTTCCACACTAAGGTATGCTGGTGCCTATGGTAGAGAGAAGGTGGAGACTGTGGCACTGCTGTGAAGAGACTGTAGCCAGTGAAACCCTGCATTTATGCTATAGTTAAAGGTATTGATTAAAAGTAAGGGATAATTGAAGGAAAGGCTGACTTATAACTGCTCTGAGATAAAATTTGCTGGTAATTGAGGAAATCAGAGGCTTCTTGCATTTATGCTGCTAAACTGAACCCAGACTGTCACTAATTGAGGAATTGAGCCCTGTTATCCTGGCTTGAAGATTCTGCTGAAAATTATCAAAAATGACTGGAACAGCACATCAACAAAGAAATGCCAGGGGTGCAGGCTTGGTTTAGAAGAGGCCACGGTATTTGGGATATTATAGCTAATGTTAGATGGATCTTGGCTGAAAGAAGAGAATACCAGAAGAATGTCTATTTGTGTTACATTGATTATGCAAAAGTGTTTGTGTGAATCACAGCAAACTGTGGCTGACTCTGCGAAGAATGGAAATCCCAGAATATTGGATTGTGCTTATGCGAAACCTGTACTTGGACCATGAGGCAGTCATCAGAACAGAGAGGGAGACACTCTGTGTTTCAAAATCAGGAATGGTGTACACCAGTGATTTATTCTGTCTCCATACCTTTTCAGTCTATGTGCAGAACAGATCATGTGGCGTCAGGATTGGTGGAAGATTCATCAACAAACCTGCATTATGCAGATGTCAAAACCCTGCTTGCTGAAACTGAGGAGGACCTGAACCACTTACTGCAGAAGATCAAGGATTGAAGCCTTCAATATGAGTTGAAGCTCAACATCAAGAAAACAAGGATTCTTGCCACTGGGCCAATTGGCAGCATCATGATGAATGTTGAAGAGATTAAGTTAGCTTAGCTCCACAATGAACACTCTTGGCACCAGCAGGCAGGAAATCAAGAGACAAATTGCATTGGGCAAGTCTGCTGTTAGGGACCTCTCTAGAGTACTAAAGAGCAATGACGTCAGTCTGGAGATTTAAGGTGCCCCTGATCCAGGCCATGATCTTCACAACTGCTTGCTATGCATCAGAAAGCTGGGCAATGACTAGGGATAAAAGAAGGAGAATTGGTGCCTCTGAGCTGTAGTGCTGGAGGAGAGTGTTGACTATACCGTGGACTGCTAGGACAACAGGTTTGTCCTAGAGATGGTGACACTTGGCTGTTCCTTAGAGGCAAGGATTCTGAAGCTTCATCTGATCTATTTTGGGCATGTTGCCAGGTGGGACCAGACCGTGTAGAGGGACAGAGAAAGAGAGGGAGAAAATCTGTGTGAAAAATTGATACAGTGACTGTGGTAACGAGGGTAGGTGTGTCAGAAACAGTTAAGTCGGCTCAGAATAGAGCAGATTTCAGGGCTGTTGTACATAAGGTTGCTGTGAGTCGCAAGCAACTTGACGGCACATAATAACAACCTGGCTTGGGATTGCTGGACTAAACCTGGACTTGTGTTATGTGATATTCTTTGCCTCCCCCACTCTCCAACCTTTCTATAATAAACCCTACAATTGAGAGTAAAGTCTGTGAATCAATGAGAAATTTGAATGCAACGATAGGTAGTAAGAGTAGAAGGAACATGTCTGACCAAGTGGCTATCTCTTTGCTGCTATGGATATTATTGATGGGGACATTTCCCCTTTATGAAGTGAGAAGAAGTCAAACTTCAGCCACTCCTATGTTGTATCCACTCCTTTCGCACCCATTTTACTGAACCATCCCTCTAGCCATGGGCTTATAGTCTGAGATGAATCTTTTTGCTTTTCATGTTTGTTTTTTCTGAAACCCTTTTTTTTTTTAAATCCGTATTTTAAAATTCACATCACTTTGTGAAACATACTGAGTGGAAACTTACAGTGTCTATATGAGTTACTTTCAGAAGACTCAAATACTATTTGAAAGAGCACTTTTGGGGTGGGGCATGTGTCCCCCCAGCATGCATAAACAAATACACATACACCCTTTCCCTGTCAGCCCTCCGCCCCATCCAGAATGTGCTCTTTTAGAAAAAATTTAGTGGGGTCAGGACATCTTGGTATTAATTCTTAGGTATGCAGTAGACTAATTATATAGTTAGGGACTTAACACTTATTATTTGGGCCTTTATTCTTTATTCTTATTATTTGGGCCTTCATTTTTTATTCTTTGAAACAAGCAGGCTAGACAAGATGGTTCAGAACTTTCTTTTTAAATCTAAAGTACTGAAAGGATAAGTGAAAACTTCAGGAAGCTTTAGAAAATTAAATATCATAGAGCTATCAAATAATTTATATTAATGCCTATTTCATTCAGATGCCACTATCTGTATGACTCCAAAACAAGTCATTAAACAGACCAAGACTTTTCTTGCCTAGTAGTCTGGCATGTAGATCTAGTCACAAAGGCAGTTAGAGTAGCACTTGAATTAGTAAACTTCGGTAATCTCTAAGCTCCATTTCATAGGTTTAGATCATTTATTGTTTTTAGTATATATGGAACACAGTTCAAATCCACCAGCTGCAATCTCTTCCTGTGCAATTAAATGCCTCTGGAAACCCGCTTTTCCCACTAAATGATACACAACAACATACATGGAATAGATCAAGAATCTAGTATCCAAACGTAGCAGGGAAACACTAGCATGGTTTAAAATCAAGGAAGATGTGTTTCAGGACTATAGCTGGACTCTGTGAAGAAAAACTATAATCAGGAAGGGAGGAAGACCTAGACCCATCAACAGCCTGTGTCATGCAAATGACACAACCTTGCTTGCTGATGTGAAGAGGGCTTGAAACACTTGCAGCAGAAGATCAGATAATACAGCCTTCAGTGTGGATTATAGCTCAATAACAAACAAAAAGCCTCACCACTGAGCCAGTGGGCAACATCATGCTAGATGGAGAGAAGACTTATATTGTCAACGATTTCCTCTTAATTGGATACACAGTCAGTAGGCTTGATACCCCAGTCAGGAGATCTGGAGATGTATTGCCTTGGAAAAGTCCACTGTCAGGGACCTCTCCAAATTGCTGAGGAGCATCGATGTCAGTTTAAAGACTAAAGTACGCCTGATTCAGAGCATGATCTTTTCAGTCACTTGCTAGGCATCTGATCTCAGGGCAGTGGATAAGGGTAACAGAAGAAGAATTGATGCCTTTCGAGTTATGTTGTTGGAGAACACTAAATGTGCCATGGACTACCAAAAGAACAAACTTTAGATAGGTCATGGGGAAAGTACAGCCAGAGTACTCCTTGGAGGTAAGGATGGTGAAGCTCCCTCTCTTATATGTTGGACATGTTGCAGGCTCGATGGCTCATAGCAGCAACAGCATATGGCAAAGAACTCTCAAGTTTAATCAGGATATCTTGTTTATTTTTATGTACTGTCAAGTCAGAAAAGACTCAGAATTGACCCTACAACAGGCTATCAGGGACTATAAACCTCACAAGAAGAGACTATCCGTCTTTCTCCCATGGAGCCTCTGGTGGATTCAAACTACCTGTCTTTGAGTTAACATCACAATTTCTTGGCACCATAGCTCCCCACTCAGTATGTAGGTATTCATACTGTCACTGATATTACACATTTTTTCATTTATATTGTTCACAAGTATTAGGGTAAAATACATAATAAATTGGTCAACGAAAAAAATGAGGCCTTAGGAGATATATTTAGACAGTATTAGAGTAGAAATTATCACCTGTTTTCTAATTAAGAAAGAAGAACCCATGCAACCTTGTACAGTTTCTGGCACATTTTATTTAATAAATATTTGTTAAATTATTCAAATGGGAAAAAACTAGGCAAGCTAAGATAGAAGGAGGTTAACAGTTTATAGGTGTGAGGTAAGAGCAGAGAACTTTAAAGCAAAGAGATATTTGATATGTTCTTAGAATTGAATGGTATTGTTTCTAATGATGGACAGAACTAAATGACTTAATGAGCTAGAATGGTTGGAATGGTTTGACTTTAGTTTGAAGAAATTCTTTTGACAGCAATATTAAATTTGATTCATGATAAGAGATGCTATGTAGATACTAGAAGCTGAGTAGGAACAAAATTAAGGAACTAATCCCTAATCTGAGGTCATATCTGTGGAGTCAGAAAGAAGGGATTCAATTAGAATATATGAAGTGTTAGGATTCTGAAAGACTATATGTATCCCTAGAGTAATTTTCTAATTTAACTCTTTATAAATAGTGAAGTATTCAGTAATGAAATGTTGGTAATTCTAAGATTTATCCATTTAATTCCAAGTATTATCCATTCCAAAGTTGCAGAATATACTAGCAAACCTTCTCATCTTTACATTTTCTGTTTTCTTAGTCACAGAGTGAAAAAGTTAGGTTACATTGGCCTCCATCCTTGCCGTCAGGAGATGCCTTCTCTTCTGTGGGAACTCATAGATTTGTCCAAAAGGTAAGCTCATCTCAGATTTTGTAAAGTGTATGTTGTATTGTTCGTCACTATTAATGGAGCTATCTTGAGATGTAAGTTTTTCTTTTTCATGAATTTAAAAATTGAGGTGTTGGAGTCTTTTTGTACTTTGTATTCCATATATTTTTTTTAAAAAAAACAAAACAATATCTGATGCTGTCAAGTTGATTTGACCTCACAGTGACCCTGTGGAAAAGTTTACCTGCCACCTAAGATTTCCAAGTCTGTAATATTTACAAAAGCTGATTGCCCATTCTGTCTCCTATGAAGTAGCTAGTGGATTCTACCTGCCAGCCTTTCAGTTAGTAGCCAGGGTTTAAGTACTATACCACCAAGACCCCATATTCCTGTATTTCATACACATTCTCCAAAGTAGAAATCTTATTCTGAACATAATGTTCTTTCCTTTTTTAAAAAAATAACATGTGTAGTGGCAAGAAGCTGCACTACAATCCCAGAGATATGCGGTTCGGATCCACCAGATGCTCTGCTGGAGAAAGAGGAGCAGTCTCCTCCTGTACCAGTCAGATCCGATTTGACGGTACACATGCAACAAATAATAAAATAAATTAAAAAAATAAATAAATAAGATGTGTAGGTAGGGGGTTGATTGGTCCAGAATAGTTAATTAGAATATAGTTACATTAAATCTTTTTATTTGGGGTTAAGTGATAGTGTTCTGTGTTATTAGAAGTACTGCATTCTTTTTATAATTATTTTAGAGCATAATACATAATAGGTGCATGAAGTCAGCACTTGCTGCTGGGCTTGCTTCGTATGGTGCTTTGTTTTCTCTTTCTTGATCTTGTGTTTGGAAGTTGGTACTGAATGCTCTGTTGTGCCTTTGTTCTGATTACTTGGTTTTTTCTTTGTCTGTCTCTGGTAGCCCTATAGTCGCTCTTCCTCCATGTCTTCCATTGATCTTGTCAGTGCCTCTGACGATGTTCACAGATTCAGCTCTCAGGTACTGTATGAATGTATAGAGTGAACTTGAGTCTTTCTGTGCTATATTTCTACCTGCTTTCCCAGTTCCTCAAAATCTTCTGGATAGCCCCCTTGTTTAGGTTTGAATTTTAAACAGTAACAATAAACATTTAAAAAACCTTCCTGATCTGGTAAACAGTTCCTCTTCTGTTAGGCTCGCATGTTCCCTTTTGTATACTCTGCTGTGGATAGTTTACAATTTTGCCGTATAGTCAGTGCTCTCAAAGATTTTCAGATCAAACTGAAAGACATAGACAGTGTGCCTTATAAATATATAGATACATAGATATATCGCATAATACCTGTTTAGTAGATAGAATTCAGCACCTTTGATGAACATGTGCTATACTGTAAAATGAGGTTTCAGCAGTCTCAGTACCTCCAATGTTATATTTAAAAGGGAAGTATTTAAAATGTTCATTATCATTGTATTAATAAATTCATTCAGCAAATTGTGTTTTTTCTTATGAAAATTACCCTTGGGTATTAGAAATTATGTGCTTTGATGTACTGAGTCTGTGGAAACTGTTTTTAGCTTTATTTAGCATAATTAAGGTTTTAGGTGTTTTAATTCAGGAAGTTGACTGTCTGCAGTGCCCTTAAAATAAAATAAAATTTTAAAAAATAAATTACCACTGGAAGAATTCTTTTTTTTAGTATCTGTGTTAATATTTTTAAAATCTTCATATCTTTGATATTCAGCTTTGACTCTTTTTAACTCATGTTTCATCTCATAAATAAATATAAATTTTGCCTGTCTTTGAACATACTAGATATATATACTCACCTAATACTGAACCTTTAGTGTTTTTTTTTCCTCTATTATGAGTAATTAAAGATAAAAACCATCTTTATTTAATTCTTCCTTGGAATATATTCCTAGAAGTGGAATTGTTTGAGTAAATGCCATGTACATTTCTAAGAGTCTTTATATGTATTGCCAAGATAGGCATTGCAAAGTTGGACCAGCTTAACACTTCCAACCTAATTTTCCCTTCTGATAGTCATAATGAATGTTTTGATTCAGTTGTTTGTCTATCTGATAAACTCAAAGGAGGTTTTTTTCCTCTTTATAATTTGCATTCCTTCATTGAGTTTTCTGTGATTTTTGGCTATTTTTACTTTGGGTTAATAGTACACTTTTTTAATAAATTAGTCTTTTCCATAAATCCTCTATAACTTTCTGACTAATGAGAAGCTTAATTGCATTCTTTCACACAGGCAAAGACAGATACTTGAACTCTTTTGGAGGCTTTTCTAAACTTGTTTTATTGTCAAAGTAATTTTGTGAAAGAAACTATAGTACAGGAAAGGGGAAAAAACAGAACATTAAAGAGAATGTTAATAAAAATTTGTCATTTTCTTCTCAAATTTCTGCTATTATTGTTAAGAAAATCCAGTGTGATAGCTTCCAATCACATAAAAGGATTCAAGAGTGACGGCACCTCTGTTATAGAATAAGCTGTTCACCCTGCTGTTAAAGTTAAACAGAGGTTTTTAGGGAACAAATACTGCTCATGCCAAGAAATAAAATCACAAAGTGAAACGAAGTGCTGCAGTGAAGGACTGTTTTTGTTGTGTGCCATTAAATTGGAACAACTGGTAGCTGACCCTCCAGTGGTTTTTTTAGAGGTTGTAAATTGCTTGGGAGTAGATTCACTGTCTTTCTGCCTAGGAGTTGCTGGTAGATGTGAACTGCGTGGCTTTGGGTTGACAGCACAACTCCTTACCACTAGGCCACCAGAGATACCAAATGAACATATCTGATTAACTGACACTTAAAAAGATATGTTTTGAGGTTGTTAAAACACATAGATTTCCGTTTCTCCTTACATTCTAATTGGTTAATTTTGCATCATTTTCTAAGAGTATCTTGTAGAAGCAGTTTCAACTTCTTGTATAAGCAGTTTTAAATGTTCATTTCCTGGAATTTCACCTCTAAGAACAAGTGCTGACTTCTCCCTGGCATCAGTTGGCTGCCAGCTCCATGCTGTCTGGTTAGCCTAAGTGCCTACATTTTAAAGTCTTTTGTCACATTCCTTACTATTTCGCAAGCCACCTCCAGGGAGCGAAGATCTCAGTAACATTTAATCTGCTTGAAATTAACCAGTAATGGTCAACAACTTTTTACAAGCTTTTAAGAGCCCAGATACTTTTCATAAAAGATTAGCTGAGGACAATCTAGTTTATAGGCCAGGGTTTGGAGACAAGGATGATGAAACTTCATATCACATATGTTGACTTTGTTCTTAAGAGGTGCCAGTCATTAGAACAGTAGTACATCATGCTTAGAAAGGTAGAGGGTCAATATAAAAAGAGGAGGACCCTCAACCAACATGTATTTACACAATGACTATATGAGTGTGCTCAAGAGATAATGAAGATAGCTCAAAATAGGGCAAGTTTCAGATCCATTCATAGCGTTGCTGTGAGTCTCAGTCAACTTGATGGTACATAACACCACCACCATGTTAATAAGTCTCTTCCTTAAGGTCAGTTATTAGCATCATGGGAACAGAAAATGGGCTGCAGTAGGGGAACAGTTCTCAGGCTACTGTTGACTATAAGAAGTAGAGTATATTACTTGTGGAAGAAAGAAGGAAAATATATACAAGTCTCCTCAAGATACGTAATGTTTTTCATAGTCAGGAGAGTCAGTGGAGTTACATTGGGATAAACATTTCATAGCACATTCTGTTTCACATAAAAAATTGATGATTAAGACTATTTTATAATATTTAGCACAAACAAGAACTGATATACCATTTTGTAATCGACTAATTTTTTTAAAAATGAATCTGCTTTAGATGGTTTATGTAGCCAGATGACCTTTCAGTTAGTCTTCCTTTATTTCCCTAATATTCATCCCAGCAAGTAGTATTGGCAGTAACACAGACTGTTCCTTGTTGGCCTAGAAGGAAGTCAAGAGCTGTTCTGTTCTCAAGTGTTAATCTTCTTGGAGACTTTTAAGGATATTTTATTAGACTCCCGTGCTGTCTGCAGTGTCATGTGTAAGTTGTATGGTGGCAGATAATGTTGCATATAACTTTCTGTGCTTGCGGAATACCATTGATAAAGACAGGCCATGTCTCTCTAATTAAAGGATTCACCCCAAAATTTTTTTTTACAAGTGTGAATCTTTAGATGGTTGATCCAATATATAACATCATTATAGGAATAAATATTTAAGAGAACTCATAAAAGGCCCAGTGTACATTGACAATGTATGTATGACCTTCAACCAACACAATGACCGTATGAGTGTGCTCAAGAGATGATGAAGATAACACAAAATAGGGCAAGTTTCAGATCCATTCATAGCGTTGCTGTGAGTCTCAGTCAACTCGACAATACATAATGACAACACTGCCATGTTAATAAATTTCTTCTTTAAGGCCAGCTAATTATTAGCGTCTTGGGAGTGGAAAATGGGCTGGAAGGTAGAGTAACATACAAATATAGAGTACAACTTTTAGATTGAGATTTCTTACTGTTTTACAATTTAATTACATAAAAGGAGCCATAGTAATATGGGGTAGGCTGAATCCAACCTCTGTTAACTCCATAAGGGAGAACTTACTGTCCCAACGAACATTTACAAGATAAATATGATACCTGTAAGGTCAGACACCATCCCCCACATTCCTGTACCAACTTCTGCTAATCACACTGTCCAGTGTTCATTATAAATGACTAACAGATTTTACAGAATTTATATGTGTAAGGCTTATTAGGGAAGTAGGTTGGGGAGGTGGTGTTGGAGAGGCAAAGAATATCACACAGTGTAATTCCAGGTATTAACAGTCCCACACCAGATTAACAGCAAGATACAGTTTCTCAATTTGTTCAGACAGCTGCTCAGTCAATAAGTGAAAGTCCAGGTTCACTCTAGCAACACAAATGCAAAAGACCTCTGATTTTCTCAGGCACCCAGCAAGTAAAGCTATTAACTCTGGCTCTGTCTCCAGGGCTCCATCAGGCTGTGCCCTGCCACATCTTTTCATAATCTGGCTAGATCTCGCTCTTAAATTGGCCTCACAGCTGTTGATGATGTAAAAGAAGCTGATCATTGATGAGCCATGTGTTCACAGTTGAGGGAGCTGGAGATCACATCTCCAGGGGAGCTTAGGTTGGCAGGTAGAGCCTAAAAAATTCATTTTACTTAAAGTCTCACCTCATCATGTGGTCAGGTGTAAGGCAATGGACAGAAAAGAAAAATCCTACCATCACAGATCTTTACATACCAGTGTATACCTTTGTGGGGTAAGACAATATTACATCCAGTGTTATGGTTCAGGTAAGCAATGGATTCATTAGTTTAAATAATTACTCAGAGAATTGCTACAAATGGACAGTCATTCCACTTAGAGTGGTTGCCAAAGCTTGGTAAAAAGGGAGGAAACCTTGTATGGATTTATCTTTTTTCTTCTTAGAACTATATGATAACTCATCAAATACAAGGATCAGCATGTTGGAATGAAAAAATCACCCTTAGAACTCTAGGAACACTACAGGAGAATTTAGTCTTAGAGTTGATAGGTAACATTTGCTTTTGAAAAGTTCAATGTGAACTTTATGTTGTTGTTGTTACGTGTCATCAAGTCACCTGTGACTCATAGCAAAGCTATGTACAACAGCCCTGCCCCTATCCTGTGCCCAGTCTTACTGTGACACACCTACTCTCATTACTCCAGTCACTGAGTCAATCCATCTCATCTAGGGTCTTCCTCTCTTGTGCTTTCACTCCACCCTCCCAAACGTGATGTCCCTCTCCAAGGACTGCTCCCTCCTTGCAGCTTGTCCAAAATATGTCAGATGAAGCTTCAGAATCCTTGCCTCCAAGGAACAGCCTGGCCTCACCCTCTCTAGGACGAACTTGTTTGTTCTCCCAGCAGTCCATTCAATACTCCCAACAACACAGCTCAAAGGCAACAATTTTCCTTTTATCATCTCTAGTCTGTCCAGCTTTCTAATACATAGCAAGCAATTACAAAGACTATGGCCTGGATCAGGCACACCTTAGTCTTCAGACTGACATTGTTGCTTTTCAGTAGTTTGGAGAGGTCACTGACAGCAGGCTTTCCCAATGCAATTCATCTTTTAACTTTCTGTCTGCTTTTACCAAGAGTGTTAATTGTAGAGCCAAGCAAACTAAAGCTGTTAACAGTCTCAATTTCTTCACTATCATGATGCTGCCTAATTGGCACTGGAACTTTATGATAAAGGTTAAATTATAGTGCCTAATGTTGGGCTAAGAGACCAGGAGGATGCCATGGCCTGGCACAGATAGCCCACTTAAAGATTAAGACATTAATCTTAAGATTTACAGTGAACTTAGGTATGGAGCTATAATTCACACATTGCTGCACATTTCTAAATTGACAACTGTGCTTTTTTTTTCCCTTCGATGTATTACCGTCATTTGCGGTAACGTGTTAAATACAGCATGGCTAAAGGATCTGAATTAAGAATGATAGATATACAGTATAAAAATACTTATACACTTCAATTATAATGAATATCTGTAAATTTAGTATAGTAACAGTAGGCTACCTTAAAAGCTTGGAAATTCATTTGAACCATAGATTATAAAACATAATAACTGTTGAATAAAAATCTGTTTAAAGAGTTTCTATTCAGATTTTATTTTTTTTTAATAAACAGTTTCATCATCTTTATTTTCATCCTAGATATAATCCTACTTTTTTCCTTTCTCTAAAACAAAACAAAAAAAAAACAACCCTGCATATAATATCAAAGGGGCTATTCCTAAGAGAGGGACATGATGCTGGGAAGAGTGGAGGGTCAGCAAAGCAGAGAAAGACCCTCAACCAGGTATATTGACATGGTGACTGCCACAGTGGACTCAGGAAGTGTGAGGATGGCACAGGCTAGATCAGGGTTCAGATCTTTTGTTCATAGTGTCACTATGAGTCATACTCCACAGCACCTAACAATAACAAAATATCTACAGTTCTTAAGGTTTTAATTTTTCCCCTTTTTTTATTGGTTTGCTTACAGAGTTTGTATACATTGTGTTTCACACTATTCTTCATTCACATTGTGTTTCATGCCATCATTCTCATGCTTTTTTTTTTTAAATAAAATTATTCACCATTGGAATTTGCTCATCATTACTCTGTCTTCGCCTGGATCCTTAGCATTTACTTCTCCACCTCCCTCCAAAATGTGCAACCTGATGGTTTAACCCCTACACACACACACACACACACACACACACACACGTTTCTACCTATCCCCTCCCACCTTGAGTTCCCATACATGTTTTACTAGTTATCCTTCTATTTTTACAGTATTTTTCCTTAAGAGACTGCATTAATTCACTAAATGTAATGCTCTCCAGCCTCTCCCCAGTTACATAGTATTTTTCAAAATCGTTTCTTCTAAGGGATGCATAAATTCCATTTTGTGAACACAAGATTTTGCTTTTAAGATTTTAAGCTTGGCATTAAAAAAACTATTTTTCAAAATTAATTTCTTTAGAGCATTTATATTGTATAATCCATATTAGTGCTTATCATTAAGCAGAACAGAAAGTCCTTGAAATAAATACTGTAATTTAATAATTACATCATCTAGATGTAGGAAACTATTAGTTTTAGAACCCTGACAATTGCATGTTTTATGAGATAATTTAGCAAGAGAATTTAGAATAATTTTACCTTTCAAAGGCCTTGCTATGTCAATTGAAATAAGCAGTTCAAATCTTTTCAGTGCATCTTTTCTTTAGACCAGTTTATATCAAATTTTTTTTCTTCAGTGTAGCTACTGAAAGTCTTAATTCCTTATATAATAGGCACAAAAAGCCGAGGGCCAGGGTTGGAAACAAGCTAGCAACCAACTGCTAATCACAGCTTCCTGTGGAGAGATATTTAGATACAAAAGGAAACAGAAAAGTTGCATGAATTCACAGATCTGTGAGCCTAGCCCTGACATTTTGTAAAATAAACCCTGAGGCCCTGTATATCATTACATACAGTAATTCTTTTTTCTGGAAAATTCTTACTTTGCTTAGGGGTAGTGCACATAAACAGGTCACTTTGAGTGATGGATCTTCATTCCCTGCATTTCCCTTTCTGCCATTAACCTGGATATCTGAAATGTGAACTAAAATCTGTAACACACTGTAAGAACTGCTAACTTTTATGCATTTGGTTGCCCAGCTTCTTAAGAACACAACTGCTAAAGAAAAAAATCTTTGTATTTTGTTTTAAGAGACTATGAGAGAGCTAGTAATGGAATTTGATTTCTTATGGCAATCTTTATTTTCTTTTGAAGGTTGAAGAGATGGTACAAAACCATATGACGTATTCATTACAAGATGTAGGTGGAGATGCTAATTGGCAGTTGGTTGTAGAAGAAGGAGAAATGAAGGTAATTCTCAGTAAATAATTCAGGAATCAAATTATACCTCTTATACTGGTTATTAGTATTTTTATATTAATGAGGTTACTGTTACAAATTTTTTTTTCATACAGCTATTTTAATTGTGACTTGAGTGAAAGCTTACAAAGCAAATTGGTTTTCCATTCAGCCATTCATATATATCTTTATGCCATTAATCAAAATACCCACAATGTAACATCACTTCCCACTTCTTCACAGTGATTTTCATTTCCATTAATCCTTTTATCCCATCACTTCCTACCTTTTGAGCTTTTTTTCCCTGGACAAGTGCTCTTTTTCTGATCTAATGTGGTTGATTAATCTAAGGAGTAAGTGCTTGCCTGATGTTATTTGTCGCCTTAAACAAGGATGAGAAGACTTCATCTCACATCCTTTGGGCATGTTATCAGGAGAAGCCAGTCCCTGGACAAGGATACCATGGTAGAAATGTGGAGGTCCAGTGATAGTGAATATCTTTAACAAGATGAATTGACAACAGTGACTGCCACCAAGGGCTCAAGCACAGCCGTGATTATGAGGATGGCACAGGATCAAGCAAGCTCTGTTAAGGACCATTGTACATAGTCGCTAGGAGTTAGAGTCAAGTGCATGACACTTACCAGAAACACTGTTGCTTGGCCGAAAGTTGAGCCACAACAGGTGTGCTTTATTTCAGGTTGAAAGGGCGAATGAGGGCCATGGTCCTGGGAGTTCTGCCAGTCTGATCAGAGCAGCCAGCCTCTGTAGGATATTCTTGTCTGTGATCTTTACCACAGCTGCTCACAAGGCCTTTATTCTGTGGAGTTCAGACCCCCAATTTGTAGATTACTAATAGTTGCAAAACATTTGTGCTACCCAGGGTCCTTTAGTGTTAGCATGTTGTTTTCCTTGTTGTTGTTACAAATTGATTTTAAAACAGAAATTATTACATGTCAGAGAAGCATCAGATATTAAAAAATAAAATATCTCTTTGCTTTCTTTGTTTCACTTTTATGGGTTTCTTTGTGGTCATAATATAAGTCTATGCCCAACTCATTCTGGTTTTCCAAAGCTATAAATTTTGATGTTTACACATGAACGAGTCACACTTAGCCACACTTAGTCTACCCTCTTTTAATTTTTATTTTATTATTATTAATATGCCAAATACTGTACCCAGATGTCATTTTGTTTCACTCCCTCTCTATAACTCACTTTTTGTCCATTTTCTCAATGTATCTTTGAGATCTGAACATTGGATCAGCAAATCTTCTCACATATCCAAATGCCAGAGATGGACAACAGGAGCAAAAAATGGGGAGATACACAGTTTGAAAAGTGGCCATAGCAGAACTAAATTTTAGATTACTTCATGCCAGGCCCACTATGCAAAGGATGTCGTTGTGTGCCATTGAGTCACCTGTGACTCAAAGCAACCCTATGTACAATAGCTCTGAACCCTTCCTTATCCTGAGCCAATTTCAGTGTCCCTGACACCCCCACCCCCATTACCCCAGATTCTGTGTCAGTCTGTCTCATCCACGATCTTCCATGCTTGTGCACTGGTCCCTCCTTGCAACATGCCCGAAGTATGTGAGCTGAAGCTTCAAAAAATACATGAACGAGCAGCTCAGTTTCACCCTTTCCAAGACATACCTGTTTGTTTTCTTAGCAACCCATGATATGTTCGGTTCTCTGCTGCAGCACCACAACTAAAAGCCATAACTTTTCTCATCTTTAATCATTGTACTGCTCTCTGATGCATAGAAAGTAATTGCAAAGACGATGGCTTGGATTCAGCGCATCTTAGTCTCTAGACTGACATCATTGCTCTTCAGTACTCTGGAGAGGTCTCTGTCAGCAGGTGTTCCCAGTGCAATTTGTCTTTTGATTTCCTGACTGCTGGTGCCAGGAGAGCTGGTTGTGGATACAGCGTACTTGATAAGACTTTCCAGGCTGACACTTAGTCCTGCCTAGGGGGTGTTCGCATTTAGAACATAAGATTACTTTTCTCCATTTGATGCTATGTTAAGAGTGTGGATAAGCAGTAAGGAAAAATGAGAAAGGCATCTTTCTTTGTGATTTGAAACAATATGTTTTACTCTGAGGAGGAACACCTGAACTGTGTCTGGATATGGAAACAAATTGTAACAAAAATGAGGGCATTTTCAGCAAGGAAATGTACAAGTTAACAGTTGTCGGGAAATTTTTCACAGATTGTATTGACCAGAATTATTCTAGCAAGTGAGTTTTAAGATAAATGATAGACAAATGAGATAACAGGTTGTAAGCTGATTGAAAAATGTGACTTTAGATTATAACCACAAGGTCTCACAAATACATTACCTCAAAAATAAATATATCTCTGACATAGCTGGACAATTCCATCCCTTCCTCACAAGAACAGATTTTAAAAGCAGACCTACTTGCATATTCTTCTAATAGCAGCAGAGTTGATCCAAGCATGTATCTCTTACTACACGCGCATAAGCCATAGATTGAGACTGGTTTATGAGGACATAAAATAAGTGATTTTTGAAAACCCGTCGGGGGTCAGTTGTTGGTTGGTTCCAACTTGACGGTGCAGAACAAGAATTGTAGCTATAGATTAGCAACATTTTGGACAAAGTTAAACTAATACCAAAGAAATAGGAGGCCAAGAATACTGCTTTAGCGTTTGAATATAAGGTGCTAAAAACCTGTCTAGAACAAGTTAGCACCAGTAAAAAAATCTAGCTGTTGTGTTTCTTGTTATTTGTCATCACTTAGATTCCTACTAATAGTGCTCTCACGAGTGCAGAGTAAAGTTTTTAAGATTGTAACTCTAAGGACTAAATCTTCCAAAACCATTGTCTGTCTTCTAAGGCACTTCAGAATCTGCTCAAACCATTAACTTTTCAGCTAACAGTTGAGAACTTAGCCATTTATGCCACTGTGGTACTCTATTTAGATGTCTTATAGGTAAATAATACATTTGATAGCATATGAAAGGAAAGAGTCAAGAATCTAGAATTTTGTATTTGGAAGAATGGGAAAATGGCATCGCAACAATGTGGCTTAGGGGTAGGAAATTGTGCTGCCAAGCCTAGGGTATGTGGTTCAAATCCACTAGCTACTCTGCAAGAGAAAGATAGGCAGTCTCCTCCCATGTGATTTATTGCCTCCAAAAAAAGTCAGCTGTGAGTTGGTTCCAACTCAGTGGTACTCAGCAACAATTGTGTGAACAAATAAGTATGTAAGAAAAGATAGTTTGGAGAAAGAGTGGAAAAGATTGGATGGATGGATGGATGGACGGACGGAAGGACAGACGGAGGGAGGGATGAACTGACCAGATAGAGAGATAGATGAGAGAGAGGTAGATACATAGATAGATACATAGTGAGATACTACATAGATGAGAGAGAGATAAGGAAATGCCTCAAAATATTTCTTAAATTGTCAGTTGATTCTCCCTCTGACTTATTCACTTAACTTTTTTACCTGAAGAATTTTATCACAGAGCCCTTATAAGTAGTCAAAAATTATCAACGCTATTGCTGACAAGTGATAACCAACTCATCACCTACCCTCTGGCAGGTTTCTGAGGTTTTCAATCACACAGGAAGAGATGAGCTATCTTTCTCCTGCAGAGCTTTTGGTATATTTCTCCTGCCAGAGAGGCATGTCTTTTGGGTTAGCAGCCTCCAGCAGGGCTTCAGAAGCAACGAATTGCATAAGGGGAAAGTGCCCATCATCCTCCTGTGGAGCAGCTTGTGGATTCAAACCATGTACCTTCAAGTTAGTAGCACATCTCATTACCACTAGGATGTTTGAACTCCCTGTGCCACCACAGAGTGCCTTTTTAAATAGTAAACCCTCTAATTTGGAAATAATTTCTTTTACTCAGCATATAAGTTCCATATTAAAGAATTTAAAGTATTTAAAGCAAGATGGAGCTGAATTTATAATCTTTTTTGCCGTTTCATTTGAATTTATTAATTCATTTCATTTGAATCCATGAATTAATTTTTGCCTTTGATTTAGTTCATACTTGAAAATTGACTGTTTCTGTCTGCTATTCAGAAAATGCAGCATTACAAAAAATACATCTTTAAATGAGTAATCTTTGAGGTGAAATTCTAACCAAGCCATTTCATCATGTTAAGCACTTCGAGACTATGCCACAAATAATGTCTTGTTTAGGGTGATGTATTTATTAACAAGAAATAATAAAAGTTTATTATAACAAGTAGTCATTCATCATTATGTTTTTTTATAATTGAAAGTTTACCTTGGATTTATAGTTTTAAATGTTTCACTTGTTATCTGTGCTGCTAAACAATTTTTTATTATTACTAATTATAATGAAAATTTACAGAGATTTTGGATTTCCATTCATTCATTGTTATACTATAAAAGAATTTTATATTTCCTAACTGATTTCACATGCAAGCAAGATTTTACTGAAGATTATCCAAAAACGACTGGAACAGCACATCAACAGAGAACTACCAGAAGTCCAGGCTG